GGTGCTCTCCTTGCCCGGCTCTTTGCGTCCCTACAGAAGGACCTGGCTGGTTTAACTTACGTGTCTCTGATGTTAACATTTGCCACTCAGATAAGGGAAGTAATTTTTGCTTCATGTTTTCTGATGGAAGGTTTCACAAAATGCCTGTTTTTTTTTTAATTTTTATTTTTCGGTGGTCCTCCAATAAAGCAAGCTATACACAAATCAGTGTCTTCATTCCCCTATTTGTGGGAGGCGTTTTGGCCTTTGGAGTCAAATCCCTGTGCTTCACCCCGTATTTAAGGCAGCTAATTACTGAGTTGTGTTTTGACCTTTTAATAAAGGAAATACCCATTAAACAAGTGCTTTTTTATAAACATATAAAATTCATTTTCCCTTTCTTACTTGAATAGGTAGAGGGAGGTAAGAAATTACTCTAAGGCTCTAAAGGCTTGTGCTTTCTTTTCTTATTTGAATTTTCTGGTTTCCTTTGCAGGCCCTTTCTGGATATGCGCCACGCTGGTCTTTGCCATAGCAATTAGTGGGAATCTTTCCAACTTCTTAATTCATCTGGGGCAGAAGACATACCATTATGTGCCCGAATTCCGGAAAGGTTGGTGCATAGCTTGACTGGTTTGGAGCGCCCTCACTTTGTAACCACCAGTTTCTTTTACCCCCGAGCCCTGGGGCCCCGTGTGTGGATGCTGCCGCCCTACTGTCAGTGTTTTAGGGTCCAGTACATCTGCCGCCTCAGAGTTTACCACCATCTACGTAAATCCTGTAATCTTTTTCTTTTCTTTTTTTTTTTTTTTGACTGTGGTAAAAGATGTGTTAATGTGTACTGTTAAGTTACTGTTTCAGTGTACAACTCAGTGGCTCTAAGTATATTCACAATGTTTTGAATCCATAGAGTCTTTTGGCAAGCTGTAAAGCTAGGCCCAGTAGCGGTTGGAATTTATTCTCAGAAAAATGTACCGAACAAGTGAAAAACAGTGTACATAAAGGTCTCCACTGTAGCATTATCTGTATTATCCAAATACTGGAAACAGGAAAGACACTATTATTTAAGTTGTGATGGCTCAACTAGCTAGGACAGCCTGTGATATGAAGTCCTGGAGGGGAAAATACAGACAGGAATGTGTCCTAGTAAGGGGCTGGCAGATGACGTGCTTATTTTAAAACTTCCTTTCTTGTGTCAGTATTGGGTAGTTTAAAAAAAAAACACAAAACAGCTTTTAGGGACTTGCAGATGACAGCGCCCCAGACGAGGAAGTATGGCCCAGGGGGAGATTGACCTGTGCATGTTCTCAACTCCCTGCCCCCCTTCCCTGCCCACTCTTACTCTGGGAGGCTGTAAGCAGCCTGGTTAAGGAGACAGGTTCTGGAACCAGACCACTGGCTTCAGGTTCCAGCCCCACCACTCTCTAGATTCTACCGTGTTGGGCTGTTTCATCCCTCTTGGTCCATTGTTCATTGGTAAAATGGAAATAGTAATAGTGACATCACAGGGCTACTTTAAGAATAAAGAGTTGATACATGTAAAGAGGTTAAAATAGTGGTTTGTATAAAAAGTTTAGTAAATACTAACTAGTGCTGTGTTACATATAGGGAGATGTGTGTTTCCTGTGTGAC